TATAGCGCCTTTTTTCCATAAATGAGAAAATACGCTAAAAATTATGATACGGAAAGAATATCATTGAAATTCTAAAATCAAAGACAACAGAACACTGAACTTGATGATTAATTATACAAACTTCGTTTCAAATTACCATGACCTCCGTTATTAGACCACTAAGGGTCGCGACTAGTAACGGTTGCGAACCCCACTAGGAGCTGTACTATATTTGATCAACCATATTAGCTACCGTACAGATGAATTTTCATTTGTCCAACTCACACAGAAAAGACATTATAATTACATTGCAAGGTTATTTAAACTCTCACATCTTATACGCTTAAAACAAAATGCAACGGCACCAACCAGCAACCACAATCTGCATCCATCCACGTACTTCACTACTTGCCTACCATCTCCGGAGTCGGGGCGGCGCAAGCAGTGTTCAAATACTTAACCCGTTCCAAAAATAGGCATGTGCTTCCATTTCAGTATATTTTTTATTAAAGAATATTGATACTACATCACCAACACATAAATCTTTGAATATTCAGCAGCTGAGTAAACTATTTATGATGCACATGATAGTATATATGTGGTCGAACAATATCACTTGTAAATTTTTTAGATGAGGTAAGTACTGCCGTGCCATAAATGGGTACCTGAATACTCCATGTGATCATGTACCCAAATTTTACTCCTCCACTTGAATCAAATGAATATTTCTGTCTCCTGCCTCAGAACGAAAACAGATTAGCTGGATTCCATAAAGACATCCTATTTTCTTATACAAGACATTTACATATTTGATAAGTGTGTACAAGGCTTGAAATTTTTAGACTAGATTTCTTCACGTTCACGAGCTTATTTTAGGATTCAAATAAAATCACACTTTTTCTTCGAGTGATGCAAAGAGATAATAAATTGGCTATTTATTTATAACGAAGTATGAGATTTAGGTTTTCATGTCAGTTTCTGGAGTCTTGGTTCATAGTCATTTCGCTATATTTTACTCATTGATTAATTTCATCAATTTTTCTCATATAAATTATAGTATAAAACCATGATATTTAGATTTTTAGTTTATTAATAATTGGAACGCTATGTCGGTTGAATGCAAATGAATGGTTCTCTGCAATCACCCAAAAACATCAATATAACATACAATTATAAGGCCTAGTCTGCCATTGTACCGACGCATAAAAAATGAGCTGAATATATAAGGGATCAATTTGAATTTTATTTACAGGGATTGGGCATGCTCGTACGCAAACGCCTCGGAGGCTTCTGCCGGGACCTTCTGTCCAGGGCTTGATTTGCTGCACCTGGGCAGCATGCAAGCTCGGTACACTTGGCCAAGCAAACTCTTACCATACCCTCAGACGGCTAGTTGGCATGGATGCTCTGACTAGTCACTGATCGCGGTCAGGTGGCCAAGCAGACCCAGAATAATTTTAACGCGAGCATAGCAACTTTGGGGCGGAGGCTAATGCATACCTTGAATTTTGTTAGGGTAATAGTACTAAGAACTTTATACTCGTTAAATGCAATCTTTGATTCTACATAATTTTACTTACTATCAAACGTTGAACTCATGAATTTTCTAACGTTTTTAATGCAAGGAATAAATAAAAGTACCACTTGTGCATGTTATTATTGATGAGTCAACAGTTCGTTAGTGAAGAGAAGCGAGTGTAATGGGGGCACTAGCCTATTTGTAGTCACCAGGTGTCAACATGATAGAGCATTTAATAAATTACTGTGCTTCAATTGGTTAACATCATCGCGCAAAAATTATGTATTAATAATTTATTTGTAGCCCATTTATAATATTTTTGAAGTTTTACAATACATACTAGCGGGTGAAGTATGTATTGATATACTAGCTTCTTGATTACTGAAATTTTGGAATCTTGTTCTCACAAATAATGTCATTCCCGTAATCCATAATCTCGTCAATAACAATAAAGCTTCTGTAATCAAATTAAATAAAGATCCTTGCAAATCATATCTTACTTAGAAGAATGAACTCCCATTTTACTATGTATTAATCAGAACACAAGTTCTGATTAATGGCAAGAAGTCAGTATCGAGCTCTGTAGACTCATCTAAATAACTCATTCTGTTTGTGCTTAAGTTTGCGTGATAAATTTATTTCTATGCATGTACGGATATTATAATAATATATACTCAATCAATCACATTGCAAACGACACGCTACTAACTCTGCGGAGTTTAGTGTGAGAATTTGATTTACACAAAATTCGTCAAACCCAAACAAATATTTCGTAATTAGACTTCCGATTAGAGCTGTAGTTATAAAAATGTATTTAGTTGTAAATTTAAAATTATTTAAAAATATTTACTTGAATGCAAATTATACTGCGCTTAATCTCTAGCGTAGAATATTCCAATACCTATGTCACCTTTAAAATCTTCGTTCATCGCATGAAAACGAAATATTTGTGAAAATAACAATCAATCTTAGTCTACAAGCTGAAATATTATGTGTTTTACATAAATTATTAATAGTTATACTAACTGACTGCAAGTTATACTAATTGATTCGCTACAGTGCGGCTGGAAAGTTTTTTTTCCATAATTAGGTAGTTGAGAATGTGCATTGTAAAGCCTAACAATAAAACCTCAGATATTCTGACGACCTCACAACGTCATAGATACCTCGTCAAACTGATATGAATTTGTATGATATTTAGTACAGATTAGGATGCTTCTGCGTGCTTGTGATTGATGATTACTGCTGGGAGCAAACATGAGGTAGTTCAAGTAGCCACTGGAGTGTGAGAAATTCCTTATTTCTCAACGACAATTTGTATATATGCTAAGTTTTTTTATGAGATCTTTTGTTATGCGTTATGGTCTGTATATTACATGCGAAGATCAGTATTTAGACCTTAGCCTCAAGTCTTTATCTCAAATTTCTAGAGCATTAAAACCTTCTACTGTTCTTGCTATTTTTCCCGTCCAACTTCCCACCCCTTAAACTGATTTCAACTATTTTCCTTCAATTATTCTTCCTTAAAAAAGTGATCACCACACTGGGCATGTAAACCTCAGGTTCGTAGTGTTTTCAGTGCAAAAGTGAAATTTTGATCATTTACTTAAACTATAATTTGTTAAATAGGGCATTTTTCGCAAGATTTATAATATAAATTTAGTTCTTTCCAGTGTACCTTAATCTGATCCTGATACTGGCCGGCTTAGCTTTATTTGTACGTCAGGCATTCGTCACCACTTTCTTTCATCGAGTGACCAACCAGCCATCTTCACCTTCACGTTCACCATATACTGAAGATTGCACTTATGGATTCGGTTCTCATTGACTAAATATTTTCGCCATTACTATGAAGCTAAATCATTCGAACTCAAACTCAAAATTTTGTTTGATAAATTAAAATAAAAGCTTCCTAGATTATTTCTTTAATTAACTACCTGTTTATTGCGTGAAACCTCACAGGAGTTCGATCTCTAATGTAACCATATCACTGAGTGGTCTATGTAACCGAGCGATTTTGCATGGTAATGCTACTTTGAAATTTTACAGTTAGGTTGAACCGAGTTGGTTAGCAAGTTTGGAACTTTATTTGTTAGCGATCTAGAATATATTGTGAATGATATCAATTCTGGGAAATGTATAATATTTAGATTAATAGCAAATACTATTTTCGCATTGAGCAATTCGAGCCGTATAGGATGAAGGTATTTGAATATAGGATTCAAATACCTATTCAAGATATTTGAATAAGATGAAGATTGTAGAGCTAACACTGGAGGATAACAGGCTGTAGTTTTAGATGCAATCTAATTTATCTGTGTAAACCCTTTAAAGATTAAGTTTCTGAAAAATGAACAAATAGTAGAATAACCACTAAATTTTCATGATCTAACCTAATACTTAATACATAGCACTGGGTACATAACCGTTCTTTGAACAGCTGAACGCTGGATCACGTTGTTTCCCACGAGAAATGTTGCTGGTCCATCAGAGAAGTAGTAGTCCAGGGGCCATACTTTCAAAATTCGCTAAGTGAACGTAAGTACTTACGCTCTGTTTTCTTGTCTATGATTGGTGGATTTTGCTTGAAAGGCTGTCAATGATTGGCTGATGAACTTACGATCTCTTAACTTTTTTTGAAAGTATAGGCCCTGTACGTCTTTTGCATGCGAGGCGCAGTTGTGGATGTCGGTGCCGTCAGGCCAGGTGAAGTTCTGGTAGGGCGGGGAGTCGTGGCAGGAGGCGCTCAGCCAGGCAAACTTTTCGTTGCCATTTAACGTGCCATTGTCTGTTGAAAGTGGAGCGGTCAGTAATGACGTACTCAATGAACAACAAAGACGCAATGATGATTAAAAGCTATTATAAAATATGAAGTTAGAAAATTTGACTTATTGATGAAATATCAATTAAAATTGAATATTGTTTTAAAAACGCGGTTGCGGAAGTGATATTCCGATTTATTGACTTCTTTGGCGGTAGACACTAATAATTTGGCCCTCTTCCTATAATTACATGAGAAACTTGCACTCAAATAATTCGAGAAAAGTCAGAATTGCAGATGAGTCTCAAATATTCTCATTTATTTTTTGCAATACATATCCGCGTATAGACTTGATAACGATTGCGTCTTGCGGAGTCCTGGACAAAGTGAAATTTGAGAAGCTCCGCAATCGTTATGAGTTTGTAATGTAAGTATTAATGTGAGATGACGTGCCTTATGAATTGGGATGGCAACAACATAAATTATGTAAGAAAACTGAAAAAAATTATTCTGAAAACAATCACAAGTTTACTCGCGAAAGATTCCTCAGAAATGAAAAGACAAAATTTATATAGGGACCTAGAAGATGGTATCAAAGCGTTCAATATACGTTATTTCCCGAAGTTAATTCATTATTTTACAAAATCACACAGAACAAGCAAATCTCACCCTTGACGAGTTGCACTGCCTTGTCTCTGACTTGCTTGGTCTTGATGACGAGAGGCTCGCCGCCTTCAGCCCTGCAGAGCTGCCACTGGTTCGCCAGAGACCCGTTGGCTGTTCGGTTCTTGGTGAGGAACACGTCTCCGACGACCGTATCTGTGGTTGATTGAAATTTTCCTAAATATCTCATGCTTCAATGCAATTAAACATAAATAAATTAAAATCAATCAACTACGGTTAATTGGTCACTTGCTCTCCTAAACGTTGTTTCCAACCAGTTGAGATTTTCAACATGGCCCTCATATAATAATTATTCACTCTCTTCGCAGTGTGTGGCATCAATAAACACTCGTCGGGAGACCTTTGTCAGTTGTTGATATCAAGGCATTAAAATAAATGTACCTGTAAATAAAGAGATAACGTTAACAGTCTTGTCAATACTAATGCCGATAACAAAAATGTTGGAACGGTGCAAGGTGCCGGTGGAACCTTGCATCCCGGCGGGACCTTGCATACTGGTGAAACCAACCATCTCGATGGAACCTTGCATCCTGCGTAATCTTGCATCCTGTGGGACCATGCATCTTGTGGTACATTGAATCCTGATAGAATCTTGCATCCTGTGGAACTTTGCCTCCCGGTGGAACATAGCATCCCAGTTGAACTTTGCATCCAAATTGAACATTGCATCCCGGTGGAACTTTACATACCGGTGGAACGGTATGTAAGGTTCAACCCTTGAATCCCGATGCCCTGAATTCCGGTGGAACATTGAATCCCGGCCGGTGTAACCTGGCATCCCGGTAGAACCTTGCAGCCAAGTGAAACCTTGTATCCCAGTGCAAATTTGAATCCCGATGGAACCTTGCATCCCAATGGAACCTTGCATGCCAGTGAAACCATCCATCCCGGTGGAACCATCCATCCTGGTGGAACCTTGCAGCATCCTGTGGGACCTTGCATCCCGTTGGAACCTCGCATCCTGTTGAACCTTGCACCTGGGTGGAATCCTGATGGAACTTTACATTCTGGTGGAACCTTGCATCCCGGTAGAACCTTTCATCCTGGTGGAACCTTGCATCCTGGTGGAACCTTGCATCCTGTGGAACCTTGCACCTGGTGGAATCCTGGTGGAACCTTAAATTCTGTTGGAACCGTGCATCTCGGCGACCCCACGACATTTGCAGTTCCCGGGCACCTGCAACCCGGCTTCCTTCTTGTTCTCCTTCCTATCGTTTTTAAGTTTATAAAATTGTTTAGTAAATTACTTTCGTTTAATTTTCGTCCCGAGACAAGGCCCGGTAACGTTGATGCGGTTTTGGTGAACTCAATACTTGAATCAACGTCTGGACCGATATTGGGAAAGCTTCTCTGAATTACGGTTGAAGGAGTTGTCTTAAATTCTTTGGCAATCGCGTTTTTTATTTGGCTGAATTAGTTCGAAAACGAGCTGATGCTTGGGCAGCAACCGACACAAGATTCAATAATTAAAGTTCAGCCAGCAACCACCACTGCAATAGACGGATCGTATAATGCAACAGACGAATCGTGCAGTCCAACAGACGAATCATTAATGTAACAGACGAATCGTGTACTGCAACGGACGAATCGTGTGATGCAACTGGCGAATCATTAATGCAACAGACGAATCATATAATGCAACAGACGTATCATATAATGCAACAGACGAATCATTAATGTAACAGACGAATCGTATAATGCAACACACGAATCGTATAATGCAACACACGAATCGTATAATGCAACAGACGAATCATATAATGCAACAGACGAATCATTAATGCAACAGACGAATCATATAATGCAACAGACAAATCATATAATGCAACAGACGAATCATGTAATTCAACAGACGAATCATTAATGCAGCAGACGAATGATAAAATAATTAAGTTCCGCGGTCGTATGTTTGTATAGTTGAACTGGCATGTGTTGATGACATTTTCATTCGATGCAGCAGTGACTAGGCTTTGGGTTCAACTTTGAACACAAATGCACGCCACTCAATTCAACTTTGAACAAGAATGCTAGTCAATTAAGTCAGACTTCTATATTGAGATATATGAAACGTATATGTCTGTGTGAGCTACTGGACCAGGTTTATCATCCGTACAACTTTTGACGAGCAATGCATGAAAGTGGTACTTGGGGCTCTAATTGGAATACTTTCATAAGAATTTCCACTTCTTAATCGGAGAAAAGAAATACGGAATAAGAAAACGAAATGCGAGAGTACGCGGCGATTGGGAATTTAAGTGTAGTAGTTGGCTATTTCCGTTGAAGCGGCCGTAGATATTCTAATCTGTACTGAGTAAAAGTATGCTTAGAAAGTGTTTTGTAATGATGTAAAATGTTATCGTTATTTTATGACACGTGTTCATTATTAACTTAGATCCTGGAGACTTCTTACTTCCTCTATAGGGTAGATAACATTAGTTATCTTCCCCATAGCCGAAATCTCAGACAACGACGCTCCTGGGCCCCATTAGCTCTAATTATAAATTAATGCTTATTATACTAATATGTTGGACAACAAATTGCATTCTCTGAATTTTCATTCATGTTAATTTATATTAATATTAGTTGCACGAGAGAGTAGGTACTAATATATCACTCTGTAAAATAAATTATAACAGATAACTAATTGACCGCTGTATGTCGTTAGCAGCAGTAAATCTTGCTTCGGACTTAAGCTGTGTTAATTAAACTCATTGCTTTGATCCCACGACCCAGACGACCGAATTAACGTCGACCAAACAACCAACCATTGTTCGTACAATCGGGAACTAATCTAAAAGCTAAATGCCTAATCCATCGACAAAATAGTCAATCAAAACTTGGGAACAAAATTGTATTAAAATGTATTAAAACAGGACTCAGGTCTGTTGCTTGAACAGAGGGGTGGACACTTTTCAATAATTTTAAATACGTATCTGAATGTATTTGGCATACTGAGAGTAGACAGAAGCGCTTACTCGCATCCATTTCAACGTATCCTAAATATTTCTTACCGCACCGGTACGTGGAGCATAACTCTGAGACAGGTAAGTTCACTGATATAATAGACTATTTAATAGTAATGTGACAGATAGGTAATTCTACTGATATGATCTAATATTCAACAGAAATTTTGAGTGGCGTGAGTGCATCGAAAATTCAGCTAACTATATATGTAGCCTGACATTCCAAGGTGTTGGGCGTCGCCCCCTGCTGAGACCCCGGTGAGCTATGGGTATCTTAGTTACCATTGACTTTTATGCCTTGACTCCCATTCTGTGGTGGTAATGTACAATTGTTGGAGACCTTCTATATGTAAAAGAATATATAAAGGTTTGGGAACGGTGACACACAGGTGGAAATCTAGAATTATCAGAGAATGTTGAAATGGTGAAAGTTGAAATTTATGAGAATGGGCAAATATATGAGAGTGAACTAATGAGCGAGACAAAGAATTATGTAAAAATGAAACTTAAAAGGGGAAAAATTTCATCTACTCCATAAGCGATGATTATTATCTTGAGCAAAAGTGTATTTTTGAAACGTCATAATAACTTCTACAGTACGATCAGACCAATCAGATGATTAGTTAACGTGATTGATCACGCGTATCTACAGTGCATTAGTTGAATAATATGAATGATGAGCTGCACCCGAACGACATCCTCAGGTGTAGTCTATCGCCCGCACGATATCCTCGAGTTTAACCTATTCTTCACGTTCAAGACCGATGTGTCCAACAAATTATCCTTCAAGTCAATTGGTGAGAGCGCATCGACAGCTCATAAGTTGATAAGATTAAATATATATCGAAAGCTGAACGATTAATTAAGATTAAATATATATCGAAAGCTGAACAGTTGTTAAGATTAAGAACAATTAAATCGAATTATATCAAGACTTACCACCGTACGTGACGCCGACAGTGGTACAGAGAAGACACCCGATCATTTCGTTCAGATCGTACAGCTGGCCTTCGAACTCACACATTTCTGAAATCGAACAAATTAATGATTCGTTAAGTAACATTTTAAAGTATGCAAAATTTTAAAAATTCTTGATGGACATTAAATATACACTAAACAATATTACCTGGTAATCCTTATTTGGAGGTTTTACTCAACGAGAGTCAGTTTGCTGATCTTTTCAATCGATTTAGTTAAGAACTTTCAGTTGAACTAGGAACTGAACTAAGGCTGAATACTACTGCCCTACAATAGAGTAGTAATTATTAAGGAGCCCGTTGTATGGTAAGACCTTGTTTGTAGCCCAGTAAGCAACCCAACTCATCTTTAAAAGTTAAGTGAAAAGCAAATCGAATATTTAAAAAAATGCGTTGGATGTCTAGCTAGAAACTTATTAATAGAATAATGGAAACAAAACAGAATATTTAATTATATTATCTTACGCAGGATGCGTCCGTAGAGCTGACACACGTTGATGACGTCGGCGTACTGAGCGCTGGGGAACGTCGTCCCAGGCGCAACCAGCGACCCGTTCGCCAGCACGCAGCCTCGAAGTGGGGAACATAGACACGTTAGTATTCCTAAAAAATTATATTGATTACTTCCACGTATAAATGCACAAATCAGTAGATAAATAACCCCGTCAACGATATTCAACCAAACAATAATAAAGCACCTCACCAGCTTCGATGTTCACTGCACTCACCATCACCTTGGTTGAAGAGCTTGCAGTGAGATTCTTCTGTTCCTGAATCCGCTGGAAGATTAACTGAGGCTTCATATCCCCAGAGGGAGCATTCCCCTCCGTCCTGCATGGGCGTGTAACAGGCTACGTAAACCCAGTCCAAAGTCGCGGCCCGGTTCATGCATTGTACGATGGAGCGGAGGAAGTAACTGGAGTTTTGCACTGCTATCGTCGAGAGGAAAGTCGTGTTCACCGTCACCGACTTCCAAGCTTTGAAGTGTCCTTCACACTCCAGGATTAAGAGCAAGCAGCAAAATGTCAAGAGTAGAGATGAATAACCAAAAACGAAAAATTTTGATGATGAGGTCAAATTTTGACCGGGACTTGTATTCAGCGACCGCATAATTCAAAATTTATTCCTCCAAGGCTTGAATTAATCANGTATCCATGCTACATTGAGTGCCTATTTCGAGGCGCACGGGACTTTGTCGCGCCGTCCTGAAAAGTTTGAAAAGTTCAACTTACTGTCACGGAAAACCTATCTCCTCCTACAGTTTTCCAGCTACAGCAATGAGACATATACCATTCGATTCGTAAAGACCATACCTATAGACTCTGTGATCACTTTTTTGAATTTCAGTCTGATTCGTTTTTTATATGGGGGAGAAGGGGGGGAAGGGGGAAAAAGGGGAAAAATGGGATAAAACGCGCATAAAAGAAAAACTAAGGAGAAAATGGAAGAAGTGATCACAGAGTCTATAGGTATGGTCTTTACAATTAGAATGATACGTGTCTCGATGTTGTAAGATGATATTTGTAGGAGGAGATAGATTTTCTAAAGTACCCCTTTTAAGCCGTTTTCTATGAATTTCACGTTTTCTATCAATTTTTTCGAAAAAATTATATGAGCAAAATGTTCTTATTTTTACATTTTACGCATGTATGTGAAGTTTCATGATGATCGGATAATAACTGTAGAAGTTTTTCCGGAGGGTAGTGGGTCCCCTTAAGAATAATATTATTGTGCTGGAACTATGTCATTGTTCACACTGCATGAAGGTCGCCAGAGCATGACGCCATTATTAAAAGAATCTACCCAGTCAAGCACCTATGTGTACAACAAAGTCGATTATTGTGGGTTATATCATAACGCGGCAGATCCGGCCACTCGATGATTTGGCAGTCGAATTTCCCTAAACAATCTTTACAGATGCACGGCGAACTATCGACTGTGGGTTTATCGCTGCAGATCGAAGTAAAGGAGAGTAGGCAACTCAAAAAACAAGTGTAAAATAATTATCTGCAAACTTCTCGGTTGGCTTTTCGTTCTTTTAGATTAATTATTCTAAAATTAAATATACATTTTACATTAATATGCTGAAAATACAATCATTTTGGATCCATTTTCTTATCGTTTTCCCATAATTTTCACATCTTTTTCACATAATTTTCTCGAAATTTTCCCATCATTTTCTCATAATTTTTTTCATTTTCCCATATTTTCCTCATTTTTTCCCCATCATTCCCTCCTCATTCTCCCATCATTTTTTCATCATTTTCCCATATTTTCTCATCATTTTCTCATATTTTCTCATCATTTTCCCATCATCTTCCCATCACTTTCTCATCATTTTCCCATCATCTTCCCATCAGTTTCTCATCATTTTCCCGTCGTTTTCCCATCATTTTCACATCAATTTCCCATCATTTTCTCATAATTTCCCCGTCATTTTTTCATAATTTTTCATCATTTTTCCAGCATTTTCCATCAATTCCCCGTTTTTCTTATCATTTCCCCATTGCTTCCTCATCATTTTTTTCATCATTTTCTCATCATTTCTCATCATTTTCTCATAATTTTTCCATATTTTCCTAATCATTTTCTCATCATTTCCCCGTAATTTTCCCATAGTTTTCTCAGCATTTTTCCATCATTTTTCCATCGCATTCCGATCATATTCTCATCAATTCCCAATCATTTTCTCATCATTTCCCATCATATCACCATTATTTTCTTATCATTTCTCCATCGTTTTCTCATAATTTTTCCATCGTTTTCTCGTAATTTTTCCATCTTCAAACTGTTATCAAAAGTCATTATTATGTCATTATTATTTAGTCATATATATAAGTCAATAAACATTATTTCACAGCAGAATAGTTCGTCTAAGAAGTTCCGACAACGAATGGGAGCGCGAAATAACATCGCCTTGTTGTATGTCTGAGTGATATGGATTTTGTCATATTATCTACTCAGATATACTTCATTGCTTTGATTCTAATGTGCATCAACTCATTCTTCCACTCTGAAATGACGTCATCAATCATCATTGAATGCAGGGGTATTGAAATGGACGACGGTTTGCCTACAAGTGCGCCTTAGTTAAAAAGTTCTTATAGCCATATTGCTGCCTCAAGGTTTTCCAGTCTTCAATAACGAAAAATGAGCCAGCCATTGACCAGGACAGAGAAATCTTCATGTGAAGAATAAATAAACTCCGAATCACTAATACCATCATCAGTACTACTGCCGTCACTACTGCTACCAATGCTGGTACTACTAATAATGGTGGAAATAACGTGTATACATGTTTTCTGTACGTCATTATAGAAGTCTCACCGATTTGATAGGTTATTCTAGCTGTTATCCGCAGCTTGAATTCTGTATTAAAGACATCGTGTACTTTTATACATATATGCCAACATTATATCTGGTACAGTAGGGCCTGAAAACTGATAATATTCAGCATCGAATATTATCGATTCAGCATCACAATATTATAGATTCGACATCGATTAATGAATATTCGGCGTCGATGAATGTGGATGCGGCGTCGATTAATGCAGATTTGACGTCGATTACTGAAGATTCTGCGTCGACCGATCAATATATATATATATATAACTTCGATTAATGCAGATTCGGCCACAACTTAAGATTCGACATCGATCGATGCAGATTATTCGATTCAACAAATTATCAGGTGCATAAACGTCGGCGATCTTCGCTGATTCGGCATAGAAAGTTCCTCAATAATCGTCGTTGCTCCCCGCGACATTGCCCTCTCCGTTGCCCACTCTAAATTGGGGTTTACCCTTGTCGATCGAGCAAGAATCTGCATTAATTTCTTCGTCTATCCTCCCTAATCTTCATCGATCGATCAAGACCTGCTTGACAGGGTAATGGTGGTCGAGCTTAGTTGACTAGTTGACTTAGACTTTCATTTGACTGCGTAATTTAATGCACGCACGAAAGTCATATGATCCAGCCCTCGTTTTTTTCTGAACAAAACATAAACTAGAATCGATAAAGTTCATATCGGCACGGAATCGTTGAAGTATGCTAATCTGATTGATCATATGTTTACGCATCCCAAAACCATTGTTCTTATCCTGGTTATCAAAAAAATGTACTAGCCATTATGCACATTCATTAATCATTTCAACTACTAGGGTAAACAAAGATAACGTTCATTATTTTATTAAAGATCTGAAATTTATACGGCTCGTGTTTTCTGGACAGAGGTCTACGATTTTCAAAGAAAATATATCGAATGTGGAAGTCAACCCTGCTGTATAATCTTTACTTCGAGTATCTTTCTGTCCCGGATATCCTGACAGCGAAGGAATTCCCCTTTCACGAATACGATTGAGTTATCGCAGACCGTATGTGTAGGAATCTTGTTTCTACAGACAATTCGTTCATTTGCAGACTATTTCCCACACTCAACAGAGACGAGTTCTTTCAGCTCATGGCTAACTCAGCTATCCATCCAATTATAGTTGATAAATTAGTACCTGGCTTGCTCAAGTTGTTGTTTAAATGCAAACAAAAATAGTTTTGATGGTCAGCGAGCCAGTGATGGTCGTGGAACTACCAGTGGCCTTACCCAGTCAAAATTCTGAGCCACGACCGGTGATGTTCTTGTTCGGAAAAAGACGGACGAAGCCGTGAAACTATATCCGGCCATCTGTACCTAAAACTGCGCTGCGCCATGGCTAATATAGAGAAAAATTCTAACAGTTCGGCAGGGACGGAACTCTGCGCTGTTGTAGCGCTGGCACACTGATCGCGCGGCAGCGAGATGAACAGAGCAGCTATGCAGGCCGTGTATTACAAGGGGGGTTTTGAGAGAGGGAGGAGGGGTAAGAGTTGGAAACAGTGGCGGGAGAATGAACTCCATCCTCTATCTAGTTCATTCGCATAATACCATATTTTGGGTCAATTTCTGTTGCCAGTTTTGATATTATTTCACGTCATTATTTTAATACTGTGGATTACGCAAGAATTTTACTTGCTTCTCTAGTTTTAACACGCAAACAGACACGTTTACGCTCTTCCACGCCTTTCTAAAGTGAAATATTAATCAGTTTATCATGGGAACTTGCGATTTAAGCAGACTAATGATTTGAGTACGTTATTAATTTTCCTATCAAACAATCGAACGACATAAATCTAGTGCAATGAATTGAATTACTAAACAAATTTAGCTCTAATATTCACTTACATCCAACTGATGGTCTCATACGAATGGGTACAGTGTTCATTTTTTAAATTAGTGCATATGAATAATATCTACCCAGTTTAACCACAAATGTAGCTACTCCTCGAGTTGCCAGATGTCATTCGAGTCATTTGTGCTATATTATAGGTAAGTAGTTCAAAAAGCCTAAGCAGATAAGGTGTTCGCTTGGTCGATTCTTGGAGCTGGCGTCGACGTCTGCAGAGTAGGAGCTCTTAGCGGTAAGTAATGTGATACGTTTTTATCCATGAAAATTGAAAATGTTAGTTTCTACATAAGGTTGCAAGTCATTACGATGTGAATGTCAACAACCAAAG